AACCAGCCGTGTTACAGGAAGTGTTCAGAGAAAAGACATTTAAGGTATGTTAGTGATGCGTATTTAATTAAAAGTTAAAACATCTTTCGGTGTAAATATCTCCTGTTCCAACGTGGACACCTGCAGCCTGTACATGTGCACACCTAGCTTCAGGTGCACTCAATAGTCTGGAATTTACGGTTCAGTTTATTTGAGCAGAGACAGAAGCTATCGGGTGGAGACGGCAGCTGAAAACACAGAAACCCACCCAGTGCTGCTTTACTGGTTTAAATGGTTTACTGGTTGTTATTTAATTTGTAGCTGTGGTTCAGCTCCTCAGCTCCGACCTCCTGTCTCCGCAGGCCGAGGCGACCTGATCGGCTCCGACTGTCTGACCCAGGAGGAGGTGATCAAGACCAACGCCTGCGTGAAGGCCCTGACCTACTGCGACCTGCAGTACATCAGCCTCAAGGGGCTCCGCGAGGTGCTCTGCCTCTACCCGGACTACGCCCAGAAGTTCATCACCGAGATCCAGCACGACCTGACGTACAACCTCCGAGAAGGTCACAGCACTGAGGTACGCCGTCTGTCGCAGCCGCTTTAGCCGTTTCCACTCAGGTTTGACCCGCTGAGCTCCAAGCAGCTTTACTGGTTCGTCCGTTGTGTCCTGGGCTCGTTGGTTACTGCGCTATGAGGTCCTGCACCTCTACGGAAACACAACCACTAGAAGGAACTCACAGATGTGTTTTCAGTAAATCCTAGAGTAGGAAAAGGCAAAAGCGGAATTTCTTTGATTGCTGATTTTTTTAAAAAATGAGAAAAACCTGGAAATAACACGTGTCACCAAGAGCGGAAATAAAAGTGGTAACTCCACTTTCTACAGACGTTTTACTACGATTTTTTAAAGAAGATTGTCTCTTTTCTGCTGCGTGGAAACACAGTTCAGCTGAAACACCTGAATCTATGGCTTTGAGAAGCACAGAGTTGTTAGTTTTGGACATTATCTTGTGAGTAAAGACGTTAAATATTTGTCTAATTTTTCTATGAAACATTTAGTTCATGTTCTTGATAGAACAACACATCACACATAAGTTTAAATACAAAGAAAATCCTCATTTCTGTTTTACAGAAAATACAAAAACTGACAATCAACATGTAAAACAAGCTTCCAGGTGCCCACATGTGTTCCCAATACCGGAGAATCAATGGTGATATTTTACTCTTTACATGTTTAATAACGATCTCCAAACTCGTGTGTTCAGCTGAAAAATCGCTGGATTTTCATCTTTTGACCGTCGATCAGGGCAGAGTCACGAATGGCTTCACAGTTGCGTCAAAGAGAGCAGAATTTTTTGTTTTTTACAGAATCGTCTGAGAACCATCGATTTATTTTTGGTGAATTATTATTACGAACACGTTGCATAAAGTGACTCAAAATCACAATTTTAAACTTTGATTTGGGTCATTTTTCCAACAAAATATCACAAGATTTTTCCTCTTTTTACAGTTTCTTGCTCTAAAAATGGTGTAATTTTGGGGATATTTTAGAAGAAAACTTGCCTTTTAAACCCACTGCTGGGTTTTGGGGTTCAGTGTAATTCCTGAAACAAAATCAGTCAACGCACCTGAGAAGATGTTGTTGTGATAGTTGTCGTTTTATCAGCGTGAAGGACGAGAAAACCCAAATATCAGCAGAGAAATCCGTCCGTCCTTCTCGTCAGCGGTGGTGATTTACAGGAAGGAGGTTTCAGAGAATCAGCCCAGAGCTCGTCTTGAAGTTCCTTCAGGGGAACGCCGACCCGTTCCCAGCCAGATGGGACGTTCAGGCTCTTCCACACAGCTGCACAGCTGGAGGCCTCCTGGTGAGGAAACAGCCTCCATCCATCTATAAAAGCCTGTTTTCCTTCACTGAGGTTCTTCTCTGCAACATGAAGTCCTGCAGCTCGGTGGAACCAGAACATGAAGATGGAGCGAGAACTCAGGAAAAGAAAAACAAATGTTGGATTTATTTGAATATGTAGTTAAACCCTGGAGCAGACATTCGTCTCAGGGCCCACAGCTGTTACCAAGACGACAGCTTCGTTTCCATCCTGGACTCGTCTCAGATCTCCGTAAACACGTCCTGCAGTTCAGCCCAAAGTCATTTCTGCTGCTGTCGGTCGCAGCTGAGGGGCTGTTTTTAAATTATTTTTTACAGCATCTGTTTAATGCAAACATCTGTTTTTAGTATTTACAAGTTCAGGAGGCCGCGTTGTGACTCCAGCTCTGATGAATGGTTGTTAACGCAGCGTAAAGCCGTGAATCAAGACGAGAGACGAAACCAATGTTGAATTTATTTTACAAAAACGTGCAAACCTTGATTTACCACATTTTTCTTCATGACTGGAAAAGTTAACTCTAATTTTTGTCACAGATAAATCGGTCACAGCTTCACGGTGGAGCTGTGTTTCTGTGGAAGAATCGGGTTAGAGCGAATGTTTTGTTTTGTTCTTGTTGAAAAATCACAATTTAAGGTCAGATTTAATAACTAACTATTAAATATTCTGCCTGTTTTTACAGCTTCTGGTTCTGATCATCATCACTTTGGCTATTTTTAATCTCATAAAAACCCATAAATCATTAAAAATAAGAAAGTTTCATTACTTGGATTATTTATTTTACTAACTAACTAAATAAACAAACAAACAAACAAACATTTACAAATTGCAGCTTTTACCAATTCTGGAAAAACGAGCTTGACTCTACGTACTACACGTATTTTACTTCTCATGTTTTTAATTTGTTTGCATATTTGATGCACAGCCTGCAGATCAGCCGAAAGGGTTTTTTTGTGTGAAAGAATCGGACTAATGATTAGTTTAATTTAAAAATGACAATTCAAGCTGTCAGAAAGTTGAAAGTCCAACTTTTCTGCCTGTTTTTACAGCTTGTGGTTCTGATAAATGCTGTCATTTTGGCTATTTTTAATGCCTTATAAAGCCATAAATCATTAAAAAGAAAAGAAACGAAAAAGTTTAATTATTTGGATTATTTTACCAAAAAATCAATAAACTAACATTTACAAATTTCAGTTCAGGTTTTTTTCTTTGGGGAAATAATCTGTTAATGTTTAGTTTAGTTTAAAAATCACGATTCAAGCCATCAGAAAGTTGAAAATCCAACTTTTCTGCCTGTTTTTACAGCTTCTGGTTCATTTTGTCTGTGTTTGCAAGTCAGTCCAAGATATCCAACATTCTCAAAATGACATAGAGTCCTGTCACTGCAGCACGGCTCACGGTTACTCTGTCCCGTCATGCCTTTCTCCCAAACTTTCCATGCTTGTCCTTGTTCATGTGGCATTTCCTTCTTTTTTAGTTTCCCACACTGCGGACCTCCATCGCTCGCTGTGGCGTTTCCTCCTTTCCCATTTCCTCTTCTTGTCACTTTGGATGCTGACGATAGCTGTGTTCCCTGCTTCACTTTGCCGTTTTATTTAAAGACTTCTTGTGTCTTCAGAGGGTCACGTGAACCACCTGCGTCCAGCGGTTCTGTTTAATTCTACCCGGGGCAGAGAAGGAGTTCGTCTGTGTTTCGGATCGGAACCGGCCGCGCGGCGCGTCGCCTCCGCCCAGCGTTTTGGGCCAGGATTAGCCATCTGGCCTGCGTGTGAGGAGGAATCCAGGCTTGTGCTTGAGATGCAGCCAACAGATAAAGACATGAGCCGAACGGGGATTTACAGGCGGATCTCAGCTGCGGTGTACACATGAATAACCAGCTTATACTGGAAATAACGAAGTCACATTTTCACTGTGAGTAAGCTTGTTAATTAGAGCAGAGATCCAAGAGAGGCATCGAGGGAGGAGGGAAATATTTAAATAAAGCTTGACTGAATTCCCTCTACGGGGCCAAAATATTCCAACCTGACTGCTGGAAATCCTGCCCTCTGTCCTCCAGAGAGCCTAAAAATAACGCTGGAAATGATTCCTGCTTGAATGTGAATACCATCCGACTGTAGGTCCACAGCTCAACAGCATCTTTCATAACAACCTGTAAAAGAAAGGTGAAGAAAAGAGCAAATAATTCTAATAATAATTTATCTACGTACCACGAGGATTCACTAAATAAGTCCTGATTGTTTCAGCCAATCATGTTGCTTCGTCCGATTTAACAGAACAGACAGAAGCTGCTTCAGTTTCATAATCTGCTGACAGGTTTGTGCAGCGCACGCAGCAGAGAACGATGGTGCGGAGTTGGTTCGTGATTCATGCTAAAAGTGATCTTCTCTTCCAAATGTAGCTCCAACATACTCTGATTTTTATTATTTTTTAAAATGCTTTTTAAGTTGTAATTTAACTGTAATTTGTTCATTTTAAAAAAAAAAAAACAATTTTAACATTTATTGATTTTTCTTGTTTTGTAAAATTACACATAAATCACAGAAAAAAAACATTAATTTACACGTTATTCATAAAACTACAAAAAAAATCTGTATTTTTGACGTTGATTACACCTTATTTTTTTAGTTATTTTTTTAAAAAAGGAGATAATTTACTCATACTTGCTCTTATTTGAAAGATTACGCATTAAAAAATGGTATATCGGGTTTAACTGATATTTTCCTCACATTTTGTCAAATTCCAGATCAAATCAATACATCAGAATTTTACATGTTTGCTGGTAATTTCACAATTTATTTTGTTTTTACAATTTTTTTCTGGACCTCTTTCTGTCAAATTTTCACTTTTGTTTTCACGCTGTATAAACAACAATGTTCTGTATAATGTAATAATACGATCAATAATCAATAATTAAGTCTCTATTCAAGCAGAACAAACAGAAATAAAATAAGAAAGCAAAAAAAAGAAAAACTTTATAAGCAAAAAAGGGACAAGAAGTTCACAAAAATGAGTTTTATAAACGTGTGAAGCAGCGTTTAGTTTTAAAACGTCGACGTGAGTTTTATTTTGAAGGGGAGGAAGAAGTCGAGGGAGTGAAATCTGACATGTAGGACGAGTGAGGAGCTAAAAAACAACATGAATGATCGCTGTGACTGGAGGAACCACAAGACATCGAGTCACAGTCGAGGCGGTTCGCTGCAGCAGAACTGGCCCGGTCCGACCCTCACAAGGCCACGTGGAAGTTGGAGAAGCTGTTGCTGGTTCTGGTGCTGGTGGCTTCAGACCCACGTGATCCTCCAGCTGCTCCGGTTTAGCTCCATGATGCAAACCTACCGACTGACGACTGATGCAGCTCGAGCAGTCCCACAACTTTCTGATCGGGTTCCTTCGTATCTCCGGGACGGAGTGGCGCCGCTCGCTCAGGAGGGAAGACTTCAGACGTGGAAGTGAATCAAATCAAATCCAGGATCCAATAACTTAAAGCAGATTAAACAAAGAGGTGTTTGCGTGTCTGGATCAGCGGTCCAAACAGTTGATGGAGACGGTGTGAGGAGTCCCTGACAGTGTTCAGCGTCCTGCAGCGGTTCTGGAGGAGTTCTTGGACAGAGGTGAGGGAGTCAGCTCCTCTGACTGTCCTCTGCAGGCTCTTCTGTCTGACAGACTGCAGCTGGAGGACCATGTGGAGATGCAGAACGCTCTCCACCACACCTCCAACCCTGACCCTCTGCAGAAGGTCCTGAGGATGCTGGCAGGGAGAGAGGCTCTTTCCTCAGGACATGTCTGCTGAACGCTGCGGTGTTCTCGTTCCAGCTCAGGTCCTGGAGATCTGCACTCTGAGGAACTTGAAGTTGCGTTCATCAGCGTCGGAGCTAAACGAAGCTTAATTCCTGAGTGTAGAAAGTGAAACTCTTTCTCTCTCTCTTGCTTTAATGGTGCAGCTTTGACGTTTTCCCAGAAACAGGAAGTAAGGAAGTGCTGGGAACCCGGATGAAACCCCGTCGCTCATCTGCAGGAGCTGCGAGGAGCTTCAGTGGAGCTCACTGTAGAAACCAGAGCTGTCAGATTGCATCACATGTACAGAATATTTACTGCGGTGCGTCCTCGGCCCAGCAGCTATAAATAGAGCCGTGGGAGGCTGGGGGAGGGGCAGGGTCATCCCTGGCTGGGTAAAAATAGAGCAGCATCCAGATGGAGACAGCAAACATCAGGATGGAGGCAGGCTGCAGGGAGGAACCTCGCTCATGTTTGCATTCACGTGCCCACACACACACACACACACACACACACACACACACACACACACACACTGGCCTCCTGAACCTGAATCATCTCCACATGATGCGGCTCTCAGACCAGCACATGCTTGTCGTTGCTCAGAGTGACACCCGAGCAGCATCCTGCCTCCGTCTGCACCTCCCAGGACGGTCCGGTGACCTTGTTGCGGATCGACACGTGCAGCGACACGCGCAGAAATCCCAAACAGTCGCTTCTCCTCTGAGCTCCCTGCAGGCAAACCTCTGCTAAAATTAAACCTCTGTGATCTAAAAATAGCAGCCGGCACGTGAGCTGAAGACTGGATGGAGGAGACAACAAACAGAGGGGAGGCTGCTCGCCAATCAGCGCAGAGAAGTGAGGAGATGTGCAGGAACGTGGCCGTGACGGGCCGAGCTGCTGCAGGAGGTCGTCAGCGGAGGAAGCACATCCGTCAATGGTTGCTCTGCTTCGTTTTGAATGAGAGCAGCAGCTTTAAGTGAATGGCATCAGACAGACTGCAGCTGTTGTGAATGACGGTCTGGGTCAGTGCGGCGCTGCAGCGCCCCCGTGTGGTCAGAGCAGCTCATCAGCCGCGTCCCACTTCTGACGACCAGGTGGTTGTTGCAGCGGAAACGTGGAAATCTGTAGAGAGGAGTTAGACATCAAGGTAGATTAAATCATAAAGTTTATTCCACTGCAGTGAAGGAAAGTTTATTCATACTGGCTCATTTTAAATAGTTTAAATGTTATTATAGAGAAACTCCATGAACACAGTCGTTTGAATTTCTCATTAAATTATGTTGAACCAACAAACTGACTGAGTTCAGGAATCAGGTCTTTATCTGAAGTCAAGATTTTTTTTATTTTTATATCTATTGATATTTATATATATATGTATATTTGTGTGTCTGGCAGGGAGCACTCTCAGCTCTCTGCTCTGTTACAAGCTTTGTTTTGCACTGTTTTTCAATTTGCACATTTTGTACAGTTAGTTTTTTTTTTTTTATTCTTTTATTTTTTAATAGTATGTAACTTTCGCCCTCTCTTGTGTGATTTGGTGTTTTTCTTTTTTGCTGCTGTATCGAATTCAAATATTTTTATTGTATTTTAATTCTTATTCTTGTGCAACAACACGATGCAACTCTTGCACAATGTTCATTTAAATCAATCGCTCCTCCTTATTTGTGACTTTTTTTTTTATCACGTCTTGTTATTTCATGTGACAAATACAGATTCAGAGAGAAACTATTCATTTACATGTTAACGGTAAAACAACAGACAAACCAGAGCAGAACAGCCGTAAATAACGTTTCACAACATTTTTCCTTAAAGTTGCATTTTTTTATGTTTTTATCAGAAAAATATTATTTTACAGATTTTTGTCATTATATAAAAAAATTATGTTGAGAAAAATGTTAAATAATTTTTAAAAGTTGTTTTACAGATTTTCCATTTTGTTAAATTTCAGATTATAACTAATAAAATCACAGAAAAATTATTAATTTTACATGTTGCCTGTAAAAACCGAGGCCACAACTGTAAATAATGTAAACACCAAAAATGTGTATTTTTTTTTCTAGTATATTGATTTTTTTTTTACAGAATTTAACAGTAAAATGACAATAACATGTTGTTATGAACAGATATTTGCCTTTTTTTGGTGAAAAAAAAAGTAACTCAAGGAATAAAAAAAAAAAGTAAAACTGACTGTAAACAAACAAACAAACAAACAAAATCTGTAAGCGTGAAATTCTGCTGCTTTACTGCATTTATAAATGAGGTAAAAACATGATCGCTTTGTTGTTTCTTTTATTTATTCTTATACTTAAACATGCATATATTTATATCAACGAGGCTGCCAGACTCTCAGGGTGTTTTCTCCTCATATTTATTTATTTTTAACAGTGTACATCCCATATTTTGATTGAGGAACCTCTCTGGGTTGAAACTTCTCCCCTGAGGAGGCCTCAAGTTCTTATTAGAGACGTGAAAGCGAAACGTTTTGACATAATCCAGCGTCTTTCTGACACTGTGTGGTGGTTTTTGCCCTTCAGACGGACTGCGAGAGTAACGGAGGGATCGTGAAGAAGCTTCCCTCCATTAAAGAAGACGAGGAGGGATCAGCGTCCGAGGGCGAGCACTCGCCTCTCCCCAAGATGTCGTCCCTCGGCAGGCTCGGCCGAGGCCTGCGCTCCCCCCTGCGCTCCCCTCTTCGGTCCCCGCTGCTCCCGCCGAGGCCCTTCCGCCCGGCCAGCGACCCCAGCCGGCCCTCCAGCCTGCAGATCCCCGTGGTGAGCTTCAGCTGCCTGCAGCCGGACCTCAGCCCCCGGTAGGCAGCCGTTCACCGATTCACCGACTGCTTGCTTTGTTGGAAAGAATTTACCAAAAAAAAGAGAGTTTAGGATGCATAGATATGAATTAGAAACCTGATGGAGTGTGTTCATGTTCAACCTCTGAGCCCCAAAACCTGCCAACAGGCTGGAAGGCGTGTTGTTGTTTAAAGTCAGCAGCTATGATAAAACCAGTCTGTAAAACCAGTAGGAATCACTGGATTTTCAACTCTCCAACAGTCCTTGAACTGGTCGTCTGCTTTTAAAAGTGTTGCCTAAAATCAAACATGTGGTCGATCAGGACTGTGTAGATAAACCGTCACGTCTGGACTGAGCTGCGCTGACAGAAACAGTCACAGGTTCAGTCCTGGTGTTTGGTTAGAAAACGTTGGTTTTTAAACGTTTGCTAAATGATTTAAGGAACCGTCGTGTGTGTCATCATCTCTCTCAGGTTTGTGGACGGGATCGAAGCAGAGAACCACAGCGGCTCGGCTCCGAGGTTCGATTTCTCTCCCGGTGCGACTCGGAGCTTCCTACCGAGTCCCGACTCCACCTCAGGTGAGCACACACCTGATCGCATCAGAACAGCGCCGGCGTCCATCGAGGTTCTGGTTGGAGCTCATGTTGAGTATCGGAGCAGAACCGATTCTGGATAAATGACTGATTTAATCTCCACAGAAGTCCTAATTCATAACATGTCTCATTTGTCAGTACGTTAGTTTTATGTGTAACATTTGATTTTACTTCACAACATGTCGATGAAATGCAATATTTCACCTTCACGTCCAACACAGTCCACATCAGGTGCAGCAGTTCATTTTATTTAATGTTTTAGGTTCAATATTTATTTAATTCAGCGTGACTTTTACTTTTCTGTTCTATTCTAGCCTCATGTCAGCTCACTGATCATGTTTTATTTTGTTTTATTTTGTTTTATTGCTTTTCTACGGAAGCCCAGAGCGGTCATTTTCCGCTGCTGTTCTTTTTTCTCGAGATAACGAGTTAATTTTCTCGTTATCTCAGAATAACAAGAATCGTTTTCTCCTGAAAACGAGATAATTTATCTCAAGAAAATCAACTTCGTTCAGCCTGTGTCAGACCTGGAGAGAAGTAAAGTCTGATGCGTTCATCAATGACAGATGATCCTCCATCTGACATTTTCAGTCTGTTCAAAGTCACGGCTGCACTCCAGAGCGTCACTCGTTTCTTTGTAAACACAGGCATCAGTATCCAGGGATAATTATCTCGTTATTTGGAGAAAATGCCGTTTAAAAAAATGTGCGGCCGTGACCGCTCTCAGCTTCCGTACTTTTCTCCTCATTTCTTCTGTTGTTTCATTAGTTTGTTCTAAACAGTGTCTGACGTGAGAATGACCTTCAGGATGAATAAAGTTTTATCTGTTTTATTTGATCTTATCTCTGTCTTGAGTTTGTCTGATCATATCTTTAATCTTACTTTATGTTGTCTTTATCTTTAGCTTCATCTTTATTTCTACTCATCTTTGTCTGAACTTATCATATTTTTTATTTTTTTTATCTTTACTTATTTTATCTTTTTATCATAATCTTATTTTGTCTTTATCTTTAGTTTCATCTTTACTTATTTTTGTCTTAACTTCTCTTATCTTCATCTTATTTTATCCTGTTTCTATCTTTATACGTACTCATCTTTGTCTTAACTTATTTTTAGCTTCATCTTTTTATCCTATCTTTGTCTTATCTCTTATCTTAATCTCATTTTATCCTGTCTTTATCCTATCTTGATCTTATTTATCCTATTGTGTCTGTATCTGTAGCTTCATCTTTCTCTTTTTTTGTCTTATAATCCACACAGCAGCTCTTGTGGAGTTTTGATGGTTTCTGTGTTTCTGTCTCAGCTTCCTGTGATGAAGGCGACACCATGCAGACGATAGCGAAGCTAAAGCACGAGGTGAGCCTGAATAGAAGCGCCACACAGGTCACTTTCCTGCTAACCTCCACGAGCTGTGTTTAAATGTGAAGCTTTGACTCTGCTCCACCTTCTGCCATTTGATGTTTGAAGGCAGCAAATGGCAGATTAAAGACGAGCTTAGTGTGGAGAGGTGGGTGTTGTTGAGATAAACATAAAGAAAATGACACAGCTGCTCTGAAACCACTCTGAGAGGCCAGATGTCAGTTTTAGTTTGGATGTGAAAGTTGTGCTTCGTGTCGCTGAGTTTTGATCATGAACTGAGCAGAACTGGACGAATCCATCAGAAGAACAAAATGCTGTGATGTGGCGGCGAATTAATCCCGTCCAGGGTGAGTGAAGGAGACGCCGCCGCCTCCAGGTAATAAGAACAGGCCGTTACTGTCACTTCATTGATTTATCACCTTTAAAAAGAGACTTTGCAAAGTGCTTCACAGACAAACAGAAGAAGGAGAATCAGGAGGAGCTTCAGAGAGCAGGAGGCCGCTCGGTCTACGCAGAGTTAAACGTGATAAAAGATGTTAGAATGAATCAATACGACTCCAGACAAAATAATAAAAGGCCACATTCAGCACGAATAATACAAGACGAGGCTAAAACGTGATCATTACATTAATAAATAAATGAAATAAATATTATAGAAAATATTTATTGATACAATGTGAATCTAAAAAATAAAATAAAACAAGAAAAAAATCTTTATTTATTGAATATAAATATATAAAAATGTAAATAAATGAAATAAATATTATAGAAAATATTTGTTGATACAAT